ACCACTCTCTCCTTTGTATTACATTCCAAGCATATAAATACAGCTCTCTTGGAAGAGATATACATGGGAAATATATTAGAAAATCTACACTATCTTCACCAATATTCTAGGAGATATTCATGAGAATATCTTCCATATCTAAATCAATWTTATAGGAGGAGATAATCACATTGCTTTTACTCCCCCTCAGTTGAAGCGGGTGGTTTATGAACGCTTAGGCTGGATCGAAATTCATCAAACGAAACTCTCAGAAGTCCCTTTGTGAAAATGTCCGCATATTGGAAATGTGATGGGACATGTAGGACCCGCACTTGTCCCCGTGCAACTTTCTCACGAACAAAATGGATATCGATCTCCACATGTTTGGTTCTTTGATGTTGAACTGGATTGCCTGAAAGCTAGACGGCACTGACGTTGTCACAGTATACGAGTGTGGCCTTGGTGATCAGACAATGTAATTCAAGTAGTAGATTCCTCAACCAACAGGTGTTTGATATGACATTAGCCACACCCCTATATTCCGCCTTGGCACTTGAGCGGGATAGTGTGGGTTGACGTTTAGAGGACCATGAAATCAGATTGTCCCCCAAAAAGACACAATATCCAGAAGTAGAGCGTCGTGTATCGGGACACCCTCCCCAATTGGCATCCGTGTAAGAAATAAGACCTGTTGTTGAGGATGGAGTCAAATGAAGACCGAGACTGAGAGTACCTTGAAGATACCGAAGGATGCGCCGTAATGCCTGCATGTGAGGTTCTCGTGGATCATGCATAAACAGACAAATTTGTTGTACTGCATACGAGATATCGGGTCTTGTAAATGTGAGATATTGAAGGGCCCTGGCAAGACTACGGTACAAGTAGGATCATCAAGAGGTGGACCGGAATTAGCGCTTAGCTTGGCCTTTGTATCCACGGGTGTTGTAGTAGGATTGCATGAAGACATATTGGCCCAGGCCAAAATCTCAGTCGCATATTTCTTTTGACAAAGAAGAGGCCGTGGGCATGTTGGACTACCGAAATACCCAAAAAATAACTGAGTGGGCCTAAGTCTTTCATAGCGAATTCAGAACTAAGACGAGCCACAATGTCATGGCGTAATTGATTTGAGGATGTAGTAAGAATAATATCATCAGCATACAATAAAAGATAAGCCATATGAGCGCCCTTTCGATAAATAAATAAATAAAGCAGTATCCGATTTGCTGTTAGAAAAACCAATAGTACGGACAAATGAAGCAAACCGATGATACCATGCTCGGGGGGATTGCCTCAAGCCGTAAAGTGACTTTTTGAGTCGACATACATGATTGGGACAAGATGGGTCCCGAAAATCAGGGGGTTGATGTATGTAGACTGTCTCATGAAGATGACCGTGGAGAAAAGCGTTCTTCACGTCTAGTTGATGGATACCCCATTTCTTGGATAATGCCAAACTGAGGATGGTACGTATAGTAGCTGGTTTGACCACCGAACTAAACGTCTCATTGCAATCAACCCCCACCTGTTGGGATCTGCCATTAACTACCAATCGGGCTTTGTGCCTTTCAAGATCACCATTAGAACAAAACTATGCAACGAATAATATTAACATCCGAAGGCCTAGGCACAAGCTCCCAAGTCTTTTTTTTTTAATTAAAGCATCATACTCATCATGCATTGCTTGATTCCAATTAGGATCACTTAAGGCAACAATGGGAGACGTTGGGATGGGAGATATCGAGGAAAGAGAACTAGAAAAAGTGTATTTGGGGTTAGGTTTGACAATACCATGCTTGCTTCTAGTGGCCATTTGATGGGTGGATGTGAGTGGAGGAGGGACGAGGTTGATCGGGGAAGAAGGAGAAGGAGTCGAGGGCTGCTGTATGGGAGCAGTAGTGGGCTGCCGGGGAGGTGTGGCAGTATTATGTTGTGGCAAAGGGAAAACAACAGCAGGAGAGGAGTCATTGCTGGAAGGAAGAGCTGATGATGCAGGTCGAGACGGATGGTGAAAATTGGACAAAACGTTTAGGTTTATTGGAGAGGAAGAAGAGATCACCGAGTTGCTGATATGGGGCTGTTGGGGAGTGATATTGGGCTGTCCTGGGGGCTGAAATAGAGGCGAAAGTGGGTTGTCCAAGAATTCATTGGAGGCCGGTGGAGGTGGTTTGGAAGATTTAAAAGGAAACGAGGTTTCATCAAAAGTGACATGACGTGCAAGGAATATCCGATTTTGGGATGTCATAGCACTTGTAGCCTCGGTGATTGGGAGGATAGCCTAAGAAGACGCACGGAGTGGAGCGAGGATGAAGTTTGTGTGTGGTTGTAGAGGGATTATGAGGAAAACATAAACAACCGAAGACACGTAAGTGGGAATAGGAGGGATTCTTTTGATAAAGAATTTGTGTGGGAGAAGAATAACCACGAACTTTGGTTGGGAGTATATTATGGAGGTAGGTTGTCATTTGAAGAGAATGATGCCAAAATGAGAGTGGTACGTTGGCATGGAGAAGAAGAGTGCGAGAGATATTATTAAATGGTTTGGATTTTACGTTCCGCTTTTCCATTTTGAGAAGATGTATGAGGACATGAAAAATGAAAACAAATGCCATGTTGAGCACATAAGTTGTGAAACGATGAATTATTGTCTTCTCGTCCATTGTCGCATTGGAAAGATTTTATATCTTTTTCAAATTGGGTGCGAATATATTGATGGAACTGAAGGAAAATAGAGAATGTTTGAGACTTTTTAGCCATGAGAAAAGTCCATAAGAAATTAGTATAGTCATCAAGGAAAAGCAAGAAGTAACGATGACCACTTGTGCTCAACACAGGGGAAGTCCAAACATCACTATGCACAATATCAAATGGAGCTATAGACATAGAATTAGATAAAGTGAAGACAATTTCTTTTGTTTCCCAATTTGACGAAATTAAACTACTACTACGAAGCTTGCTAAGGATTGAAGGACCCGGATGTCCAAGACGATCATACCATAAGATGTTGGAGATGGTGGCAAAAACAGACAAGAGTAGGGAGTAGAGAGGTAGTAGATGTGGAAATTGGATAGAGGTTGCCATGACTATTGCATCTCATGATGGGGGTGCCCGTCCGAAGGTCTTTCACACAAAAACCAAACGGATCAAATTCTATGGAGACATGGTTATCACGAGTAAATTGACGTACGGAAATTAAATTTTTGATGATATGAGGACCGAAAAGAACGTTATGTAAAGATAAAGGAGGATGAGGGGTACCGAACCAGAAGCCGTGATTGGAGTCGAATCTCCATTACCTACAATGATATGACGAGAGCTTACCTTAGTTGGAAGTCATATGTGAAGTTGCCCCTGTACCCATATACCAATTGTCGTGCGGCGGATTCAACGACATGGTGTGGAGAGCCGATTCAATATCCGTTGGAGCGTACTCACTTGGACCTGAGGCAAAATAAGCTTGTTGTGGGTGTGACCCAAGAATTCCTAGAGCCGAAGAAGGTGTACGTTGCTGCTGTGGTGGGGGTCGAGTTGCCCGTCCATTAGTTGGATACGGGTACTGTCTATGGAATTGGAGCCCAAGTCTGCTGCTGCCAAGGAGTGGAAGACAATTGCCAGGGTTGTCCATAGCCACCCCAAGTCTGCTGCCGCTGCCAAGAGAAGTCCGCGTTGTGCCCCCCTCGACCACGGCCACGAGAACTTCTACTGCCACGGCCGCGAGAACTTCTACCGCCACGGCTGCTTCGTCCACGACCGTGAGAAGATCTACCAAAGAATTGTTGTTGCGGCTGTTGGTGCGGTTGTTGGTGTGGGCTTGGAGGGACAACACCTACATTGTTGTTACCAATTGTCATGAGAGCCGTATGCCCGCCGGTCACCGCTTGTTTGCCCTTTCGAGATTCTTCGAGGGACAATATGCTACGAGCATGATAGAACGGAGGCAAGGGATCCGATTGTTGGATGATGGTGGCGACGCCATCATATCCTTCGGAGAGTCCGACAACCAATTGAAGTACCAATTGTTGTTTGGAGATCGGGGCACCAACGTTGGTTAACTGGTCAGCAAGCATCTTGAGGGCCTGACAGTAAGCGGATACGTTCGGAAAGTCTTTTTGATGTATATGGGAAAATTGTTGTTCCAAGTAGATGGCCCGAGAATTTTTATTATCCTGAAAAATTTCCTTCAAGCGATCCCATGCGATTTGAGCCGTAGAATCAAGTGCAAGAATGGTGTGAAGCAGATAATTAGAGATTGTACCATAGATCCATTGAAGAACCACGGCGTCTAACCGTACCCATAAGGCGGGATCTACGGTGTTGTCATGAGGAGGGCTAATGTGATCCAGAACCTGATAAGCACGAGCGTGAATCTTGAAAAGTTCCGCCTAGAGTAGTGTACCTTTTCGACCTCTAACATGATCAAAATGAAAGATTTAATGTTAGAGACCAAGAGTGCGGGATGAAACGTAGTAGGTTTGAGAGTGGTATCTGTCATGGCGAAAGAACTTGGAGGTTCAGACGAAGTCACCATGGTGTGGTATCTGTGTGGTTTGAAAAAAACTGAGAAGATGCTCTGATACCATAAGAGAGTTCACCACTCTCTTCTTTGTATTACATTCCAAGCATATAAATACTTCTCTCTTGGAAGAGATATACATGGGAAATATATTAGAAAAAACTACACCATCTTCACCAATATTCTAGGAGATATTCATGAGAATATCTTCCATATCTAAATCAATATTATAGGAGGAGATAATCACATTGCTTTTACAAAGAATGCTAGCGGAAAAAGGTAAGGTTGTTGTATGTAATTCGACTAAAAGTTGATACAGGCACGTGGCACAATGGTTAGGGCAAATTTACATACAACACCAAGCCTCCATTTATTCATGCAATATTAGTTGCTTGCTTGGTGCAGGTTCTTGCAAGTCTTTTCTTCTTAGTTCTATCAACTCTCTCTATGTATGTCTTTCTTATATATTGTATTTACGCAAATGTTTTGTGATCTATCTCAAGAACAGGCACTATTTTTGCATATGGCGTGACAAGTAGCGGGAAGACACACACTATGCATGTAAGTATATCTCATCTCTTTGTCATTTGTAGACTGTGTATCTTATGCATTTTCAAGTTGTAAGCATCTGTCTCAACACATTACTGGTCTACGTGACATGAAAATTCTAAGTGAGCGAGTGACTTGTCTGACATAATAATTTGAATTGAAATATTCTCAGGTATCATAGGTTTAGCAATCAGCCCTACCTAACGCTATGCTATAGCATGTTTTTGGTTTTTGGATTAGTGGGTGCAGCTGTAACTCTTGGTCTGGGTTTTTTGGCCAAGACTATGGGAGTAGATAAGGCCAAAAATATTTTTTATCGTAATGGCTTTGGACATACAGAAAGTTCAGTTTATCTACACTTTGTTGGATCTCCAAGTCAATTTCGGAGAGTATCAATGTACAACTTTCCAGGGGTATCTTTACCAAACGACTTGCAACTCATAATTTGCCTTTTATGTTGGTTAAAGTTTGACTTTATCAATAGAAAATGCATAAAAGCTTGAAACTAACATGACTGAAGGTGTTAAGAGATACTCCGTCTGTACGAAAACAAACGTGCTTCTTTTCTTTCTATAACTGTGAAGGGAAAGGCTTATTTGATATGATATGGAAGCATCAATTGTTCTTTTGCCTGTGGTGCTTCGGCAAGAGTGAGAGGAGACTACAGTTTCTTACTTGCACCCTCTTTTACCAGTAAAAATTTCTTGTTATTTCTTCTTCAACCCCCAACAGTTATTCGGCCATTCTTCCGACTGGCAACATGGTCCTAGTTACAAGTAGGAGAACATATCGATTAAATCCTAATTGTGATTGCATGAATCATGTATTTAGCCATTGCATACATTAATATATGTTCCCAAGTTATTTGTTAGTCATACGATCTTCTAGGCAAGATGGTTAACATTAGCCTAGGCCTAACTATTTCTCAACTTAATGTGTACTACTATAGTGACATTAATACAGAAAAAAGTAAGCTGATACAAACTCCTCACCCCTCCCTTGGTCTTTTTTTTCAATATCTATCTCCTTGTATTTTTTTATTCCAGTGTATTCATTTTGTCTTTTTGGTCATACACACAAGACAGGGAGATCAGAGGTCCCCTGGAATTATTCCTTTGGCAGTAAAGGATGCTTTTGGCATCATTCAAGAGGTATGCATGGCTAATCAGCTGCTACTACTATACATGTTTTAAGAGGAATAATCATTATGCATCCTCATGTATTTTCAGACTCCAAGCCGTGAATTTCTCCTCCGTCTCTCATATTTGGAAATATACAATGAGGTGAGCTTCTGGGCAATATTTGTCAGGGTTGCACACTTGTTACTTGAAAAGGAATCGTAGTGTTAATATCTGCAGTTTAACAATGGGATTGTCTTACCTTTTGCATTTCTTCCACTTGTTATGTGTGCCCCTGTCGTTTATTTTCAACTTAACAATGTGATGGCCTAACCTTTTCCACTTGAAAGTGTACTTTTTCTTTCATATAGACCTCAGCTCTTTCTTTTCATTCTATGTGGTCTAACGACATTTCTTGCCAATATTATCGCCTGTTGACTTACCTGGTGCTAGTGTTTGCTGGCCATTTACTGGCAAATATATGAGTCTCTTTGTGTGTAATGCTTCCATCTTAAGTTTCTTAATTTCTTTAGGTTGTTAATGACTTGTTGAATCCAGCAGGACAGCATCTAAGAATAAGAGAGGACAGTCAGGTAATTTCTATTGTCATATACTTATGCATGTTTTTACATTTTATCTCCGTACAACATCAATATTTTTATTATTAGTGTGTGGTATATATTTTGCTTATGTGGATTATTCAATTGCCATCAAATTGTATTATTCACCTGACCCTTCCAAATCATTTAAGCACATGAGCATATGACTGGACTGTCTTTTGAGTTTTGAGCAATTGCTTTGCATGCTCAATTGGACCTTCTCGTTTTGTTATCCAATCCTGCAGCCATTTTGGTGTACTAGCTGGCTATACCTCTGACCTAATGATTCTGGACTATATGTTACTGAACTTGGTAAGCATAGGAGTTCACTGATGTGCAATCCTCAACAACATCTGGATTCATGCTAAACAAGAGGTTTGATAATCACAAAAGGATAGGAACGATCTAGATGGTTTCCCTCATCACCATGCAAACTGCACTCCTTCGAAATGATGAAGAAGTTGTAATTCTTTTACAATTATAACAAGTGTTTTGCAATTTAAAGTTTCGAAATCTTTCAACCTGATTTGAGTTGGCTAAACAAACAAGGCTTCACATAGAAGAAATTTGTCTTGGACATCGGAAGTTAGGTTTCATGCATGCCTAAATTACCATGAAATTCGTTCCAAAATGAGAGTTGGAAGTACATGAAACCCTAGAGTAGAAGCCACTCTTCCTAACACAATGATAGGTATTCAACAGCAACACTATGTTATCATTCTGGATATTATGTTTAAGTCGGGGTCATTCTGATATTAGCCATGTATTTGGCAGCTTAATGCAGGATGTTTAACGAGTTGTCTTTGACAGAATGAATACATGAGTAGCTATTCTCTGCCCAGGTCTGCCATGTCAATGATTTCTGCTAGTTTATACTGTCTAATGGTGCATGAAGACTTTATAGACGAGATTCTGCATTTTTGAAAAACCTTGTTATGAGCTATCACATGCATTTCCTTTTTTCCTTTGTAGGAACTACCCGAATTCATAATTGGAATTAGGAGGTCCTTTCTAGGACTTGGGAGTTCTTATAGATCTAATTCATTGAAATTCCATGTATATTTGATCATAGATTTGGGGTGGAAACCTAAGTAATGAAGAATCGACAGTTTGTGTTTAACTTCCCTGCACAAACGTTATACTGCTAGCACCTCCTCTGATGTCCTAAACATGCAAGTAGAAATTCCTTATCTTCTTGATGGCAAATTGGATGGAAATTGTGGTGAAAATACAACTGCAAATCATTTTTACCTGTGAAACTTAACGTTGAATGAGTTAATCCATCATGTCAATCATCCTCACTATCTATACAATATTATAAAGCCTTTAGGTAAAAGTCTTAAAAACAACTTATTAAGCATGTGGCATTGCTTAGCAATGCATTAATGCATAATCCCAAAAATTTCAAGTTTCCAAGTAATTACCGCATATGTTCAATTTGTTAAAGCTCTACGTTTGAATTCCATAAAACCAATAGATACACTAGTTCAAATATAGGACGAGCGTTGAGCCCTACTAATACGACAGAGCACTCCATAAATTTCGGATTCTCTTTTAATGAGGAATTGTATTAATTTTCCTCATTGTATTAATTTTTCATTCCTGGTTTACAATAAAATTTTATATCCAGCTGCATTGCACGGGTATACAACTAGTATATTTATTATGCATTTGTAATATTATGGTATGAAAATGTAATTGCCAGCATTCATCATCCTATAGTATTTGACGCATGATTCTCCTTTTGTGAGAAGTCTTAACAATCATAATCAAACAGTTTATGCAATGATTGTTGCTTGCAGGGAACCTTTGTTGAAGGTATAAAGGAGGAAGTAGTACTATCTCCTGGCCATGCCCTTTCCATTATTGCCGCAGGAGAAGGTATGCCTTTGGCCTTCGGTTTTTAATGTTTTTCAGCTAGGTTGGTTCAAACTTTATGAACTTTGTGATCCATTTGTCCTTGTTCATTGAACTTCTTGTGTGGTTTATTCCTTAAGTGCCTGCTTCTTGCAACATACGGATGGATATATGATTTTCTGACTAGTAAAAGTATCGACATGCCAATGTCCTTTTCTGGCTGTTGTTTGCCTTCCTTTTCCTTTTCCTTTTCCTTTTTTCAGTATATCGAGGTATCATTTAGATTTTCTTTAAAAAAGAAAAGCATCTTAGAGTCGGTTGAAAAAGAAGGCAATCTAGATGAGTCGATTAGACTTATCATGAATGAATGGTGCAGATATGTAGTCCGAGGCACCTTAAAATATGCATGCACATGTTCTGTTTAAGTTTTATATCTTCTAAAACCGGACTTGTTGAAAATGACAGAGAACTTGGATTCAAATATTGTACCGTCATAAAAAAACATTACTTCACGATTTCTTGTTCGCATTGTACCCATTGCGCATATTCTGACATCATGGCTTTCAAGGACAATGTATTATCAGATGGTTTTAGGGTTATGCTCTATATGTATTATCAGATGGTTTTAGGGTTGTACTCTATATGCATTATCAGATGGTTTTATCTGTAGTCAATTGTATTTGGGTTACTTTAATTTACATTTCATGGGAATGTAACGCATTGTTCTTTGTTAATACAGAGCAAAGACACGTTGGTTCCACAAACTTTAATTTGCACAGCAGCAGAAGTCACACAATATTCACACTGGTACTTTTCTGTTGTTGTGAATAAGAAATTTATTGTTCTGTCTGTTGTTTTATTGCTGATACAAAAGTGTCTGATTGCTTCTAAAGCATTTGTCTATTGCCATGTAAGGGAAGGTTCATTATACACAATAACCAGTTAAACACAGTACGTATTACAATGATTTATGTGAACATGTATATGACTGCTAGAATATTCTTATCCTTAGATCTGAGAGGACTACTTCTCAGGTAATGTAGTTATCTATCATGGAGTGGAAGATGTATTTTAGGTTTTGTACAGACAGCATATTTCTTCAATACTTGTTTCACTTATATTTAGTAGATTAAAGAGTAAATGATGTTAAACGGTTAGAACCATCTTGAAGTGGTTAGCTTTAGGGGTATGGTTTTTCGAAAGGATAGGCTAACCATAATTCTTTGCACTGTTTTCAACTTTTGTGAGAAGTGCTTCTTAGAATACTAAAAGTTTTCAAGGATAAACAGGTTTTGTAGATATAAGCAACACAGAATCTTGAGCACTTTGTCTCACACTGAAGACAAATATAATTAAAGTATTGAATGTATTTATGATTGATTTATCTCTTTTGTTTTACTTTTTTTTTGGAATCAACATTTTTTCTAATATCCTATGTTCTAACAGACGATTGAGAGTAGCCCCTGTGGTGAAAATAATGAAGGCGAGGCTGTTAACTTGTCGCAGCTGGTATGCCCCTGAAACTCATCTTAGACGTATTGCCAGTGCTATATCTATCAGCATTTGGCTTGTGTAAGCCTCATGCTTGCTTCATTGTATAGTGTTGTTTTGTTTCTCCTTCTTTACTGTCCTGATTGGTGTATATAATTCTTTTCAAATCGCCTATATCTGCAAAGAATTTGGTGTACGTTTGATTTGGTTTAGCCATATTCATCTGCATATCACTTTGAATTGCAGAACCTCATCGACCTGGCTGGTTCCGAGAGCTCTAAAGCTGAAACTACTGGTCTTCGTAGAAAAGAAGGGTCCTATATAAATAAAAGCCTGCTAACTCTTGGAACTGTGAGGCCTCTATCATTGCCATTAATTTCTCAATGTAACAGTTTAAAAAAATGCCTAATTCTGGTTGTCTTTTTGTTAATTCTTATGAATGCCAAGCCTTCTACTACGGTTTGTATGAGGGTAAAAAAGAAAGAAGTGTCATAAATAATTTGTTTCATCTTATTTTTTTTAGTTTATGCTTCCTTTGTCACATGAAAAAATTGAAAATTTTGCATTTTGAAATGCATATATTAATTGCAATGCATCCTTTTTTCGCCAGCTTTCAAGCTAAGATAACCTGCTTGTTTGTCTCACTATCAATTGTTACAAACTACATTTGCTCCTCTTTCTCCTGTTTTTGTCAATATAGAAGGCTACTTTAAAAGATTTCTAGTGATAAGCATTTAGTACCAATAGCTGCAATTTCTATTAGAAGGAGCGAGAAATACATATCCAAGGACCTCTATCATTGTATCAGAAGATTTTTGGCAGCAATTTCTTTAACTTATATTGGAATAACTACTACATTATGCCATTCTGCCTTGTGCTATTTCTATCAGCTGGTATGCCCCTAGGATTCAGTCTGTACAATAATTAAATCTCTGAAATAGTAAATCATATGAACCCCTCCCCCCCCCCCCTTTACATGAATGTTAGTTTCCTTAATGGAAAATATCTTGCTGATAGTAGAAGAGAAAAATTATGAAGCATGGTACAAGTAATTTTACACTAATTTGGATCATGCCACTTGATTCACATAAGTTTGTTTTAAGTTGTAGGTTATAGAAGGGCTGTAAGATCTCTTGTATCTTGAAGATGCTAAACTACCACAGAATCCAGGCATTACTTTTTGAGTGGGGAATGATATCTTATCAATTAGGAAAAGATGAAAAACTGAAAGTTGAGGACTAGTAATTCCAGCATCTGTTGTAGACATATATTGACTTGAACTATTTGAATCTTCTTACACTGGTGAGGAGAGGAGCCTTTGGATATCTGACTGCATAGATTTACTTCCCAATGACAGTAAGAATGGTAAAGAACAGAAGCTTTCACTTTGAGTACCCTCAAAAGGGTTCTTAAGGTGAATGGGTAGATCCTAAATTGGCAAGTAAAACCAGAGCATGTACAACTTGCTGTGATAAACAATGTATCTTCTGAAAATTGTGCCGGGTTACACTGTTAAATTCAGAAAAAAAAATCATATACTTGTGGCCATAACTCGATTCAGATCATTTCAGCATTCATTTTCTGAACTTACCATGATTCTTTGTTTTCTGATCTTTGTTTTGTCATCGATCTTGCCTGAAATGCTAGCATCATATCATTTATGAACAAGGTTAGTTCTTGTTGGAGGTTGATTTTATTTCCGCACCAGATTTCTACTGGATTAAGCTTTTAAATCAGTTTGTGCTCAACACATACAACAGATAGGACTCACAAGCATCCAACACCCCTATAGCTAATAGCACCTTTGGTTTTCCTGTTCTACCGTATGAGTGTAAACTATCACCTTGGTGTTTTGTTTTTCTCTAATTAATATTGATTATATTTGGAAGTTAGATTTATTTTAGAACTTGCTAAATTGGAATTGTCACAGGTTATATCAAAATTAACGGATGGGAAAGCAGCTCATATACCTTACAGGGACTCAAAACTGACCAGACTTCTTCAGTCTTCTTTAAGTGGTTATGGAAGGGTATCTGTAAGTCTTCTATAGAAGTCCATATCAACCTGATCCCATTAATTGATATAAAGTGAAGCATGGTGCTGCCCTTTAGAAGCATTATGCTACCTGCTCATAATTGCCCATTGGTGTTGTTTTGTCTTTCAGCTCATTTGCGCTGTAACTCCCTCTTCAAGCAATTCAGAGGAGACACATAACACATTAAAATTTGCCCACCGTGCAAAACACATTGAAATTCAGGCAGCACAAAACAAGGTATGAGCATTTGAATTCTCTGCACTTCAGAGTACCCTTCATCGACAGAATTTGGAAGTAACCCTGTATATTTGCAGATTGTTGATGAAAAATCCCTTATCAAGACATATCAAAATGAAATTCGATCTTTAAAGGAGGAGCTAGAACAGTTTACGACAGACATTGCAACAGTTCCTGAAACGAAGCATACAGGAGGAAATGATGTTTTTCTTAAACAAAAGGTTAGAGTTCGCGGTTCATTTTTCTCTGCGGTTCCACGTCTGAGTGATCAGTGTTATTTTGTTGTTGTGCAAGTGAAATATCCTCTCTAAGTCTTCATATATACAAACATATAGAATATATTTTTTTCAGTTTAAGTGACGAGCTCATAAAAATGTCTTCGCCCATTTCTGTGAAGGAACTTCTCACCATTTAAATAACTTGGCTGTAAGCGTTAAACTAATAGCATGCTAGTCTTGAAATAAAGACAAATTCGAATTAACTGATGAACCTGCTAAATTTGCAATTGATCGCAAGCAATCCCATGCTGTTATGCTCAAGATCATATCGTCGTGTGGCCTGAGCATTCCTTGAAAATTTTGCATATTTCCACTTTCCATTTTGTAAAGTAGTTAGCATTCCTTGAAAATTTTGCATATTTCCACTTTCCATTTTGTAAAGTAGTTTTTTTATTCATCCTTCGTTTTCGTATCAATGTGATGTGTAAAGCTAGAAGATGGTCAAGTTAAGCTGCAATCAAGATTGGAGCAAGAAGAAGCAGCCAAAGCTGCTTTGTTAAGCCAAATACAAAATCTGACAAAATTGATCCTAGTCTCCACCAAATCTTCACACTCATCTAGACCTCCTCATCAACCTGCTCCAAGAAGATATTCCTTTGGGGAAGAAGAGGTAGTCTGATTCAGTTGACTAATCTATTCCTCTCTCTTTATATCATTTTCTCATCCTTACACATAACTTACCTTGATTAAGTCTTCAAATTAGGGATATGGCATCCTGGTCAACAAGCCAAAAAATGTAATGTATTTGTGCTTTATCTTTTGAACAAAAGAAATGTGACTTAAATGACCTCGTTAATGGGCAGCTTGCATGTCTCCCACATAGAAGGCGTGACTTAATTTTGGATGACGAAAACATTCAGTCGTGTGTTACTCTTGATGAAGGCACGGATACAAAGAATGAGACACTTAAGGAAGATAAAAAGATCAAGAAGCCTGGATTGCTTAACTGGTTAAAACCACGGGTCAGTCTTCCTTTGTGATTTTGATGAATGTGTGCTAGGATACTCATTTATCAGGTTGTTTCTACTAATATGCTAATCTTTTTGAGAAACATGTTTTTTTTACCTTATTGCCACATAAAAGCTTTCTTCCCAAAACCCTTACCACCTTCATCCCAGAATAATCTGAATGTTTGACTTTGTTGCTCGTGTTCACGAGTGCTGCGGGCACGTAAATAAATTGTTGAATGTTGAGTTTCAATTTTATAAGATCGCCAAATCAAGAATTTTCAGAATGGTTTTATTTTCAATGAATCAGGAGTCCGTGGCTCACTCTGTCATGGGTGCCAAAGTTCAAATATCCTTAACACAGAATTAAGGGAGTATAGATTTCTTAAGAGTTCAGATACATGTATATACCCCTAATCAGAAGCTTTAATGAATACCATTGATTTTCACGCCTCAAAACATATAGATGTATGCTTTATGGATCTTAAATGAAAAGCTGAGAAAACAGGAAACAGCTGAGACTTTATTTCATAGTTTTTGTTCAATCAACTAGCTTCCTTGTATGTATGCCATAGTCAAAGAACACATGCATTTGTCAGTGCGGAATGGGGGATAGACCTTGAGACCATCAAAACCTCTTAGAAAAATCAAAGAGAAACGAAGAAGATGAAGATCTATGAACTTATCATGCTTAGTTTTTAATTACATGCATTCTAAATCAAATACTACCATCAGTTGGAGAACTGAGTGTGTACCGTGAAACATCTTGGGGAATCTTAATGGAATATTTGGAACCATGTTAAAAATCAATGCTATTTATGGTTCATAGATTCCAACAACTCTTGGCCTATGGTACCAAGTCCGCCAAAGAGACCTTGAGGTTGTGAGTTCAAGCCTCAAACAGTTTATTTGTGCATGTGTGGGGGCGTTTAATCAATCAAAAAAGGGTGACCAAGGTGCATAGCTCCTTGGCTTTGTAAGGTTTGAGGAGTGAAGTCCTTGTAGCATCCCTTACATTTTTCCAAAGAGACTTGCTCTTACCTTAAGTCATGACCTTTTGGTCATAAAGGAATAATAAACTTAGGGGCTGTTTGGTCTTTCTTTCATTGAGCCTTGTATGGATTAAGTTGTATGTAAGGATTTAGTTGTTGTGTTGAATAAACAATCTAAATGATAAAAATGATTATTTTACCCCTCAGTCTATATTAGATACTGATTATACGTATTTAAGTTCTATTAATCAAATTGGTTTTTGTTAATATTTCATCTATGATTTTTGTTGACCAAAATCATAAACTAAATTATACACATTTAATGGTATTTTTTAGTGTTAAATAAAAACAAATAAATTTATTTACATTTAATTTACAATTTAAAAACATAAAACAAATAAATTACTAAACTTATAAATTAATACATAATAAATAATACTAAATTATTAAATATAATAATATAAGTAATAAAATAATGCAATGGGAAATGGACGCCATCATTGGTATAATAGCTGGTAAAAAGACAAGGGTATATGTGGAAAAAACAAGAGTTGAACGTAGACAACATCTTTTAGCCGGCTAATAATCTCCTAGCAGAGCCATATAGCCACAACTGAACACCTCTTAGTCAGTCAGAAGGGATACAAAAAATTTACATGTTGAAAAAAGATGCAAGCCTATGATAATGGTCTATACGCCATGCAAGTTTACTATGTGATTTTAAGGTTTCAGAAATACTCTTCCGCATGAAAAGGATGCTCAAGGAGGTCCATAAGATTTTATATTTCTTGGATAAATTGTCCATATAATTTTAATTATTTTTGCTTGGGAAAGCTTTTATTAAATATTTCAAATGTGACCTGATAAAAGTGACCCAAGATGACAAATGTGCTGTGAAGTGAGGTAGGCCACCCCTCTGAGTTAAGATGTTTGAAATTGTGAGAGAATTTCTAATTATTATCATGTTTACATTGTTCAAGTCATTACATGCATGCATAATTAGATCCTACAAATCCAAAATGCATGGTCGCGCATAAAGACACAAGTACGCATAATTTAATCCCCACCCTCTTCACATATCTCATTATCAGTATTTCACTCAAGATATATCAGATTTGATAAATATTTTATACTGAGAAGATATTAGTTAAATAGTCCCTCTGGTTGGATGCCGTATGTTCAAAGCTCCACTTCATCTATCATTTTGGTTGTTAGTGTTTAATAATCATGTAGCCAGATATGGCAATAGATGATGTGATTTTATGCACCCTCTCATCCTAGACTCAATTTTCTTCAACTTTGTTTACTGCTTTTTACTAGAAACGAGATAGTATCTCTAGGACTTTGACCAGTGCTAGTGATAAATCAAGTGGAGCAAAGTCTACAAGTACACCTTCAACACCTGGAGATAATCGTATTCTTCCCACTGAATCCAGACACTCATACTCTTCGCCATCCGAATGTACATCCTTTGGGTTCTTCTCAGAGGCCAGACAAGATCGAGAAATCAACAAGGATGTTTTCTTACAACAAGAAGCTAGTCCGGTATGCAGTTCTCTTCAGTTTGTAACTGTATCTATATGGATGAATCACCGGTATCCTATCACATATATCGCATGAGCAGAGTCTATATCTTGGATTCCCTTTTGGTTATCTTGATAAAAATTAAGCAAGTGTACACTACTTATCTACAGGTTTTTTTGGCAACTGCTAAACTACTATCAACAGAATTTGGTAGAACTATTTAGGTCATATGGATGTACAGTCAAATGGCTCAGGGATGTTAAGACATTAACAGTAATCTTGCCTTAGGAACACTGGAGATATTCTATGATTCAATCTGCGTTACTCCTTAACATTTTCTTTGCTGTTTCTTGTTTTTCATGTATTTGGTTTCTCACTTTAGACTTGTTAGGTTCTTTTGCCATAAATCTACCGAGGGGGGATATTGAGTATGGTTGTTTGGTTTTGCCATAAATCTAGAATTTTTCTCGTTGTTGCATTTCTTTATTTCTTACCTTAAAATATTGTTTCTTCGGATAATTTGTCCTAGCAATCCCAATCTGTTTTTACCATCTACGCGGCTTAAGTTCTTATGGCTCTGAGTGATCTTTCACCACTACATCATAGGGAGTAATAATTGGACCATTAATTAGTTGGGCTAAAAGATCAATGGTCTATGATTTTGTGCGCTATTATTCTTCATACCGAAGATAATCGACTTTTGGTATCATGTAGCTTGCATATCATTATTGTTTATGGTTTTACAGGTACTAAGATCATACAAGTGTGCAAGATTTAGAAGACATGATTAAAATGCCTTTCACATGGTCCATACATTTATTACTTCCATTTGTTATCTGATTGACAGACCAGCATAAAGACAATTGACCAAATAGATCTTTTAAAGGAGCAGCAAAGGATTTTGTCTGGAGAGGTGGCAAAACATTTCACTGCTTTGAAGCGGTTATCAGAGGAGGCTACAAGAGATACCAATAAGGAATCTATAAAGGTAACAACTTGAACACTCTGTAACTGGGGCTGATTATATACTGACGAGGATCAATGTTAGAAAGTACAGGTGGAGATGACCAAATTGAATGATGAAATCAAGCGGACGAATATACAAATTTCTCTCCTGGAAAACCAAACTACCAATTCTGTCATATCATCTCATCACAAAATGGATGATGTTGAACACTCACGAGTGAGTGCCTCTTTATTTTAGATGCTTGCAGCTTGCCTGTTGGTGTATCTGTTCTCTTAAGCTGAACTTTCATACCTTATGCAGTCTGTTCCCAATTTGGAAGCACAATTAAATGGCAAGTCCTTTGAGCTTGAGGTATGCCAATTTGCAGTATGTGTGTTTCGATTTTTTAAAATAGCTTTCACTTGGATTATATGTTTTGGGCACTGCAAATGTGAGAATTCAAGGGAAACTTTTGGGTATTATTCCTTGTCATATTGCCATCTAAAATACATTTCATACGTCATCAACTATATTTTTACACACACCAGTGCCAAAGAAGGGTAACCATCAAATCCAACCGAAACGATTCAAAAAATATCAAATCCAACCGAAACGATTCAAAAAATACTACTTCCTCTGTCCCAAAATAAGTGTGTACATTTCTATTTTGGTTTGTCCCAGAATAAGTATCTACTTACAAAGTAGGTGTATACTTTCCAGTTCTCTTCTTATGAGATACAAGAAATTCTTTACTCCCTTACCATTAAGAGTAAAATCGTCATTTAGTTGATTAAGAAGTACAATGATTATACATTCCTATAATTGTGTGCCTTCTTCAATGTGGACATCTATTTTGGGATGGAAGGAGTAATAAAAAAAATATATGTTGCAATAGACTTAAGTTCTTTTGATGTGCTTGCCTTTGTGAACCCTTGGGCAATATGCCCCTTGATCTTGATCATCAATAGATAGCATCTCCGGCTTACTTCTAGTTGAAGATTCTTTTAAGTTTGGATTTGTGAATGAACATATCAAGAAGAGCATGTAAAATAGTAACAAAGAGAACAATTTTCATTTTTCACGCGGTTCTTAGTTGAGCAAATTGATAGATGTTCTACTATCTCCTTTGATAGATTCAAGCCGCAGATAATCAAGAAATTCAAGAGCAGCTAAACGAAAAGGTACAAATCATGTGTACAGTTTTGTATTTGGAGCTTATTATTACTTGATTTTTCTTGCTTATGCTCTGCAAAATCTTATATTTCCTCCAGAACGATGAATATAAAGAACTACAAGAAACAATCACAGCCTTGAAACAACAACTTTCCGATGCTTATGATTTAAGAAATGGTGCAACAAAGATCCGTGCTCAGCATTACTCCGAAACAACAAACTTGCAGGGTGAACTTTACACAGAGACAGAAAATACAACAATGAATGATAGGACTGACTTGCTGCTTCAGCAAGCTCAGGTTCGTTTCCATACCGCCACTTTTTTTTAAGTACATAATATTTATAAACTAAATACGGCAAATACTCATGCACACTCCTCACATTTGGTGATGCTTGAACCCTTTACCTCCAGCGAGGTTGGGCCCTACCAGTAACCCTGGTCTTGACCAAATGTTAAGAGTCTATAATCACACGTAGACAATGTAGTTGCAGGAAACAAAAAAAAAGATCAAACAAACTACTTGTTTTAGCAATTTGCTTACCTCCACCACTCCCCATGAATTTCAGTAGTTTATCAAGAAAAGCAAAACATGGTGGTTCTTTTTATGATATGAATTCACACAGAAATGGATGAGGCAGTCAAGTTGTCCTCCTGACCATAACAAAATACTCCCTCTGTTCTAAAATAAATGAAGACAATGAAAAAGGCACATAGTTGCAGGAATGTATAATTATCACGTTTTAATTGACTAAGGGGATGTAACGCCCCAAATCTCTATATAAATTGGGAACCATTACTTTACATGTTAGACTTTATTAATCTCTTGAATCTGAACTTGAAAATTTCTCTTTATTTAGTACATATCTTGAATATACATCAAAGAAGAAGGCTACATTAGCGGAAACCTAACCATAATTGGTATTACAACAAATCTTGCTTTAAAAACTAAAACCATTACACTTTACGCAAACGCTTCTTACTTCCTTCCTGAGATACATACATGAGATATATAAGCTATAAGTTTAGTGAGTATTTATAGTTTCATGAATGAGAAATTTTCATGATATTTTGTAAATGATAATTCATAAAATTACTTGATCATGTATATAAATATTCTTTATTCTCATGCATAAACATTAAAAAAAAACTATATTCTTTATCATGCATAAAACATTCTTTTGAGATCTCACTTGTCACATGCATGTATACCATACTTGTCTTGGGGTTTGCTAACCCCCGGGTCCATAAAAGGCTGCCCTATAAGGTTCGTTTGCAAGACGTTCCTTCTTGTAATATCCCGTACGTTGGATATTATGGTTATACATAACATGTAAAAGTTTTCATGCCTTGTGTAACACATATGATAACATGTAAATGATTTTCATATCTTGTATGTATACTTGTATTAAAACATGTCATCATGCATATCTTGAATATGTATATATATCAATATTTTCATGTAAAACAAAGCATGCCAACATAAGTTGTAATGCATAAAATACTTCTATAAATATAGCATACATGTATCTCATAAATCACATAAGTACTCACCTTGATTTGCTTACTTTTCCTTTGATTTCTTTCTTCAAGCTTAATTAGATAAATATAGAGAGAGATTTCTTAGTTTTTGGTATGCATAGATAGTGACCCCTTACACCCCTATTTATAGATAAATTCATTGCATTAACTACTTGTCTTTCTTGTGCTAAAGATTGTACTCTTATGAGAGTTTGACACCTCACTAATAAGGATAAGAGAATCTTACAACTCATGCTTCTAGTACTCCTTGTTATGCTTCCTAGACTAGTCTTGTAATCAATAGTCTTGCCAACTCATACACTTCTAGCCTTAACAACTCATCACTAGCTTGCCTAGTCATGTTTACTAGACTTGCCAACACACTTCTAGCCTTAACAACTCATCACTAGCTTGCCTAGTCATGCTTACTAGACTTGCCAACACACTTTTAGCCTTAACAACTCATCACTAGCTTGCTTAGTCATGCTTACTAGACTTGCCAACACACTCCTAGCCTTAACAACTCATCACTAGCTTGCTTAGTCATGCTTACTAGACTTGCCAACACACTCCTACCTTTAACAACTCATCACTAGCTTACTTTCTATCTGTAGCAGCTGTTGGAGCATTTGTTTATGTATAAATATGTGTATTTAAGGCTGAAATTTGAGATTTATTTAATAAGAAACTAGGTTGTTACAGGGGCCGTTTAACCAAACACTTTACCGGTAAGCGATTACTGGTAAAATTTAACACTTACTGGGTAAGATTTTAGTCCACTAAAACGGCATCGTATGCAACAATTTACCTCGTAAGCGCTAACCATGGTAAGAGTTGTCGCCATCACTTACCGGGTAAGACTCTCGGTCCTTGCCTTCGCTCTTACGGTGTAAGATTCTTGGTCATTGCCATATTCATCCGGTAAGGTAATGTGACTTGGTAAGCTTACCTGGGTAAGCGTTTGTTAAATGGCTCCTAAATGACAAATTTTCCTTAATAATAGGATTAATGAATTTCTCCATCTCATGTTTAAGGGTAGAATTGGAAAATATGCACTTACTTTTGATAGCAAGCACTTATTAGGACAAACTAAAATAGAAACATGGACACTTATTTTGAGACGGAGAGAGTAACTATTTTTGGACAAAATTTGGGTAGTGCTCTAGTGAAAAGTCCAAATGTGATATTAAATCCAAGACCAAATAGCGTTATTTATTTTGTGGAAAATGGTGCATAAGAAACATATCTGAATTATTTACCAATTCCCTTGTAATTAGGCACTGGAGATTGAACAACTCAAACAGCAAGTAGCCAAGCTTAGCGAGTCAAAAGATCAGTTAGAAGCTCAGAACAAAAGCCTGGCCGAAGAGTGTTCATATGCCAAAGAATTGGCGGCTGATGCTGCAACTGAGCTTAAGGCATTGTCTGAAGAAGTGGTGAAGCTAATGAACCACAACGAGAGACTAGGAGCACAGATGAACTCCCCAGCGGGACGTAGAACAACCGGTCCCACCAAGAATGCACAAAGAAACAGCATGATCCACACGAGGCAGAAAGAAGGAATTAGTCCAAATCAGTTGGAGTTACAGAGACAACTTGCGGTAAGCAAGGAGAGAGAGAGGGCTTACGAAACCATGCTCTCTGAGAAAGATCAAAGAGAATCTGAGCTACAGCAAACAGTAATGGAATCAAAACAGCGTGAGGCTTATCTTGAAAACGAAGTCGCAAACATGTGGATGCTTGTGGCAAGGCTAAAAAGATCACAAACCAATGTCCCGGAGTCAACTAGAGAGATCCCCGAGGTGAATGGTTTGGGGATTTGGGATGGCATTTGAAAGGACATTTTATAACCAAAAGATTGTAAAGTTTTAAGATTTGGATTTGGATTTGTACATGAGAGTAGATGGCTTTTTTTAGTAGGAAACTTATGGCAATTTGTATATAAACAACCGAGAGAGATAGAGAGGTAGCTGTTTGGGGTTTGGGCCTTGAGTTCATTGATTGAGTGGAGTGGAGTGGAGTGGAGTGTGATTCAGAGTTCCAGCAAGTATTTTGTTGTGGTGTAATTATCGATGGTGTGGCCAACATGATATATGTTAATAGCAAACCTGTTGTGAATGGAAACTAGTCATTAAATTGGCTCTAAAAATATTGTATTTTATTGTGAGCTATAGTTCTTGCCTGAAAACAGAAATAGAAAAAGCATCATACATTCATTGCTCATATAAATGGCAATTTTGAGAACTAATTAGCTTTCAGTATCCTGCCACAACATTCTGTAAACAACGAGCGATATAGAACAACTATAAGTGTCAACACAACCATTGTAGTATGTTCAAAACCATTTGTCTTGTGCTAAATATGTTTTGCAAGATGGAAATTTCAGGGAAGAAATAGATCGAAAACAGACAGCCTTGTTTTGTAAACACTGTTGCATCCCTCTATATCTATATATGCCAAAAAAAAAAAAAGAATAACTACAATAAGTCATCAACACAAACAGAAAATACAAGAAAAATTACTTGTGTTTCAGATCAAAGGGTGAATCGAAATTGCCAAAATGAAGGGAAAACAACCAAATCACAAACTCATAAACCCATAAACCAGAAAGATTGATCATAAGATTCCATTAAACTTTGCTCATATTTCATAACATAAATCAATTACAGCCATCAAGTTGCTCTCACCCTTGTTCATAAATTGACCATTTAATGAGCATCTAATTCTCGATTGAAATCTTTTATGAAGGTAGCTTTGATCTATTTTGCCCATGGACAAATATTAACAAGCCTGTGAAACAAATCTGTAAGTGTTGAATGCCATGGTTAGCTAGCTATTTGGAGTATGATCAAAGCCATCGTCCATCGATCACCATTCACCTGCTCCGAATAACAATAATCTTGTAGATCAAATTGGTTTTTGATGGACTAATTAGATCTTTCGACAATGATGAATATAATCAACAAGGGAAGCAACATCATAAATCATCCACTTGGAACTCAAATCTTGAAGGTAGATGATGTAATTAACAAGCGGTGAGTGTTTTAAATATTCAAATCCAACTGTGGGGGGTAAATCAATACAAATCATCTTCATTATTGCTCCCAGATTTTTCACAATTTTGGCTCAGCTAATGAAAAGAGACAAAGGCAAAAACAAACTAGAATCAGATCTATAACTTACTCGTTATCAATTGGTCTTGGCAGCATCGGGAATCTGAAACAAACCGGCGCCGGCAGCTCCACGAGGAGGTGAAAACCCTAAAAACTTCTGTAAATTCGTCCTGATACTTATCGAACACAAGAAGTACAAAAACGCCATCGAACAATCCGTCGGATCGTCCCCCTGCAAACCTCTATGACTCATCTTCTGAACGATCCTTGCCGGCACAAATGGCAACTTCGCAACCGCCTTTCCTTCAAACAGATTGTTCAGAAAACCAAACACAACAAACAGAACCAGCGCAACAACACCACCAGATTTGAACTTGAACAGAGACAAATCTCTGCTGGATTCTTTCAGGGAGGTTTCAACGCGATCTATTTTTTTCGTTTTCGACTTTTTGGGGGCGGCGGCGACCGTTGAATCAGTTTTCATGGTTTCAAGTTTCTTGGAGGCTTTGTCGATGGAGGATTTGAGTGATTTATAAGACGTGGTGCGGTAGATCAAAAGCCATGAGATGGCCTCACAGATGAGGGCGGTACAGAAGGAGATTCCGACGACAGTGAGGCCGTCGGAGTACCTAAATGTGGAGAAGAGAGATGCCATTGTTGACTGCTGAATGATTGAGGGGAGTTGAGAGTCAAGGGTATTGTGATACTTGATTGATTTGCCCAAAAACTTACTCCCTTTCTTAAAGTTGAGGACTTTTGGTAAAGTTGAGGTTAGTTGATTTTAGGTAAATATAATTTTATTTTTATTTTTATTTTCATCCACTAAAAGCATATTAAATAGATTTTTTTTAAACGAAAAAATTAAAATTTTCAAAAAAAAAATATTTATCTGAATCCAATACTAATTATAATATTAAAAAATTATTTATCTCTTTGAATATTTATTTTTAAAGTTTCTAATACTTTTACTTGTAATCATTTTTTGGATGATCTCCATATTTAGAGAAAAAAATTCTTTTATTTTCTCCATTTTGAAAATAGTTTTGAGAAGCTATTGCAGCAAAATATTGACTCAGAATCTCCATTTTCCCATTTAAAAAAAGGTTCCGGAGATGCTATAAAATAATTGTTAATGTAATACGTTAAAAACAATTTATGTAAGATAAATTTAATTAAAAATTTATGTGTTTCTTAAATTTAATGTATTATATATAGGGATGTGTTATATATTGAATGGTAGGTTATTCGAGTTCGACTCAAAAAAATAATATCATGCTCGAGTTTGAACTTATGATCGATTAATGAACATATGAGCATGTTTAACTCGGAAAAAATGCATGTTCGAATCGCGTGACTTGATTTGAATCGAAAAAATTTAATCGAATTTTCAAACAAGCCAAATCAAAACGTTGGTGTTATAAAGATAGACTCGTTAAGTTAAACAGTTTTATTTTGTATTCGAGTCACCACGAGCTCAAATAGCTCACTAAGAAGTTTGAATCGTTTACACCCCTAATTACATATGATCACAATGGTGGTGTCTGATTTGTTTGAGCTTGGACTCCAAAGGTCAAAAGTGTCTGGATGTCTCAGGTTCAAATCCAAAGAGAAATAAAAATCTTCTTGTGGCCACGAAAATTCAAGTAGGTTACTATGGACTACCTACAAAGCAGTTGGTTGCTCTGAAATTAATCGACTCACATGACGAGTTAGATGTCCAGGTTAATTAAAAAAAATGGATTAAATGTTATATTAACATTTGATGTGATAGTAAATAATATTAGAAATTGTGTTTGGTGATTGTTAATTTTATATCAAACTTTTTGATGATATTTGACATGTGTTCATATAAAATGTACCCCAATATATTAAATTTTTATTAAAAAAATGTACTTATATATGCCATTTTTATATAAAATGCATCTTTTGTATAATCATGAAATATTAAAAAACAATTATCCTAATTTATTCAATTTTATTAGTTGGTAATATATAAATATATTTATTATATTTGTTGATATTCGTTTAAAATTGATTAAATTTAGTGTACCGTTTGTTTCTGTTTATCTTATGGTTGAAGTATTCGTTTGCACTACCATTTTTTGCAGTTAAAATTCGTTGGTTCTTTTTTTCATCTTAATTTTTCCAATTTATACTGAATTAAACTCATTGAATCTACTTTTTCAGCTTCCATAATCAATTGTTTTTCTATTGAGCATTTGATGGTTTCAGTAACATCGGTTGATAAAATGCTTTTTTTATCCTTTGAGACTTTTGTCTCCTTTGGATTTCTCCATATACGAATATCCGGAGGGAGGCGTACGACTTCATGGGGGGTAAGGCAAATGTCACTCTATCGATACAAACTACTGTTAAGGAGATGCAGGGAACTATCCCGACAGCTCTTGTTCCACGTTCTAGTTGTCAATCTAAAATAAGAAATAGCTTTCATAATATCTTTATAGCCAGTCTGCTTCGGAGAATCTGATTCTACTTTCATGCCACCTTTCACTTCCCCGAGATAAAGAGTGAAACTAAAGCGGGAAGGAGATGAGGATCCGGGTTTGTATTTAAATGAGTCGATAATCTTGAATATTCTTATGCTTCTTCGAATTCGTCTTGGAATATGTAACACGTCAACAATAATTGTCTGCAATCGGATTTGATTGAATAGATTCAGTGACGATTTTAAAAAAAAGAAAATGATAAATAACCTAAATGTTATATTTTTTGTAATACTTTATCATTTAATAAACATTTTTATTATTTTAATATTTTTTAATTTTATTTATTAATATATACAAAATAATAGATAAAAGGATTAAACATGCTTCATGATACCCCTTATTTAGGATTTGTTTAGTTTATAGAATTTGATAGGATTTAGAATTTAATCTTGTATTTTATTTAAAAGAAAGTATTGAATTGAAATCTCATAAAATTTGGATTCAGAAATCGTATATGATGTCAAACCAAACACTAACCATTTATCCAAATAGTTACTCGGTAAGCGCTTATCGATAGGAGTCAACACTATAAACTATTTTACCAGATAAGATTGTAGTATATTGAAACGGTATCGTATGCAACAATTTACCCAGTAAAAGCTTACCCGGGTAAGAGTCTTCACCATCACTTACTGTGTAAGACTCTCTATCCTTATCATCGCTCTTACCGGGTAAGATTTTCAACCCTTGCCATATGCATTAGGTAAGGAAAGTTACCCGATCAACACTTACCGAGTAAGTATTTAGTAAACGGCCCCTAAATTCCCTTATAATTTATTCGTACATCGACTCATATCATCCTTTCATCAGTCTATACCTTACCCATTTTCTTGGAACCCCGTTTCAAGTTTTAAGAACCTTGCCACGTTTATGTCTCATTTAAGAGGACGAGTTTACTAATAATTTCAATTTTGATGTGGCTGCCCAACAACATAACATTGTATTTTCTACATTATTTTCAGTATAAACATAATACTGTATATTATTCATCGTATACTTATTATTAGAATCCAAATGATACTGTATTATGATCGGGTTTTTAATTCGCTTACTTACATTAGAATCCAAATGATATTGTATTATGATCGGATTTTTAATTCACCTTGACACACTTGCATATGTCCGACCACAATAATATTTCTTGCATAAGTTATTTAAAATATTAGTTTATAAGCAGGAATAAGATAAATTTACAAAAAAAGTAGAATTTAATCAAAAACGTTTTTATGTACGCTTGCACCAACAATGTTTGACCTTCGAAAGTGAGCTTTTTATAGTCAAAGTTAAAAGTTGGTCTATCAGACAGAATTTGGAAGACCGGAGTTTAAGACCAAAAGTCTATACTTTAAATATAGTTGTTTGGACTTGACAAAGAGTTGATGAGATTTTAAATCCTAAAGTCAACCACAAGGGTGGTGTCTGATTGGTTTGAGCTTGGCTCCAAAGGTCAAAAGTATCAAGAGGTCTCAGGTTCAAATCCAAGGAGGAATAAAATCCCCTTGCGGCCACTGAGGTTCAAATACGGTTACTCTGAGCTATCTGCAAAGCAGGTGGTCGCCCTGGAATTAGTCGACTTGCATAGTGGGTTGGATATCCAGGTTAATCAAAAAAAAAAATCCTAAAGTCTGTACAAAACATCCGTACATCCGTGCTTTGAAAACTATTGTTGCTTAGAAGAATAGTCGTTATAGAAAAACAACAAAATAAGACATTGTTTTAGAATTTGTAATTTGTTTGCAAATTGTTTTAGAATTTGTGGTTTTTTATATGACTCCTAAATAACAAAATGGTCGTTTTACCCTTTTTTTTAATTTCTTTTCTTGAATGTTTATCTTCTCTATTTTAACACTCATTAACAAAACCTACATCAAAATGTTATTTCAAAGGCACATCATCAAGTTTAATTGAGTCACGATTTCTTGATAACTCGATCAGCCCAAATGAATTAAACGGTAGTAAAACAAATGGATGTCTCAATCAGATGCAAAAAAAGGTCAAAAACCTACACATAAAAAACTATCCAAATGCATAAATGAATACAGATAAAATGAAGTTCCTCCCGTTTATATATGTTGCAGGTACCCAATGGAAACATCCATGTAAGTTTCCTATGATTTGTTTTTGTTGATAAAACTCTCTTCAACTTCAACGCACTTGACCTAAAGCAGAAGTGATAAACCATCTGGTTGTGACGCACTGGTTAATTATCAGAGATGTAATAGAAATCTCGTATTTCTAATGCTTGAATCCAGATGTTGTCAAAGCCCTTATAACCATGGAGGTTCACCTATGATGACTCCAGGCCATTCATAGTCACCGAGTGATTAGTCGGTGTGCGTAAGTTGGATGAAAAACCACTGTCACCCAAAAAAACCAAAAACGAACTACAAAACAAAAACGATGAAGTGGGAAGAACATTGAAAGAAAGAAACTTGAGGAAGTTTGACCAAGAAGAAACCATTGAAGAACCAAAAAGATATTGAATGGGAATGTGAATTCTTAAAATTCATACGAAATATCATAACGTCTACTCATTTAACGTGAATTTCTCTTCCAACTCAAATTTTTTGAAAACTTCACAGAGGTGGGTTTACTTTAGGATTTAATACTTTGACTTATGTTATGATTTAGGGTTTGTTCTTAATGTTTTTTCATTACGGTTCAGTGAAAAAGATGAAGTCTTAAGAAAATAACAAAAATTAATAAAAACGTTGAAATATAGAAAAATGATAAAATGATCAGTTTTCCTTCATAGTTTATGAAGATGATGGACAAATGTTGGGTTCAGGGACCAATTACAAAACAAACTGCAAACCACAAAGACCTAATATGTAACTTTAGATTTTATTCATCAAGCATGTTCATGTTATACATTAGTTTTTAACTTAATATCGGTGGTTGAATAACATTTTGATTTACAGATTTGAGACCAGTAGTAGGCGATCAAACCGGGAAAGGAAAGCATTTGGTCAAATGACCCATGATTACATTTTTTTTATTAAGAAATTACGTGAAAAGGAAATCAGAAATATTGGTTGGAATATATAGAATCCTTAGATACAAGAAAGGCACAAGCAGATCAGATCAGATCAGTATTGAAGATGGTCTATATAAAGGAGCATTTGGCTGCGCAACAAAAAGGCCACTATATAAATTTCCTTCTTTTATTTACTTTATTGTATTGTTTTTGGAGTTTTCACATAGAAGTTGCATA